CATTTTGCATTTGGATAATTTAAAGTAAGTTTAATTTATTTATCTAGGTAGTTCTGCGCAAAAACAATTTGAGCCTCTATGATATATCAAAGGGACAGTTCAATACTGTAATAATAATCTATTTTGAGCGCATAAACATTTTTGAATGGGGAATGATCATATTTTAATCCATGATGATATTCTCAGGTTCTCCAAATATTGGAACTGTACAGAAGGATATATGAAGAATTTTTAGCAGTTCCAGTGTCCAAAGGGAGGAAAAGTGAGATGGAAAAATTTGCAGGTGGACTTTATACAACCAGTGTTGAGGTATTGATACATTCCTAAAATATTGTAGCCTTTCCTTAACTATCCTGATGAAAAAGAATATTAATTCCAGTATTTTATTGTAAGTGCTTGTTGCTAAATATTGTTTTACCAGGCCTTCATTCCAAACACTGGTCGTGGCATACAAGGCGCAACCTCACATTGTCTTGGTCAAAACTTCGCCAAGATGTTTGATATCACTTTTGAGAATGAGAAGGGTGTTAGGGAAATGGTTTGGCAAAACTCTTGGGCCTACACTACCCGCTCGGTAATTCTTACACTCCTTTGATTGAAAATGAGTAATTGATGTGGGAATGGAAATGATACTTTCATTTTGTATGCTGCACATGATACTTTTGTCCATAGGTAGTCGATATCTAGTGAACAAAGTGAACTGTAACATCATCCATGGACCGTTATCATGTGGAGTCACTAGTGTTCATTTAGTGTTAAGCAGTTGCACTAGCGCCATAGGATGCAAAACCAATGGTTCATTTGCACGGCATCGTAGCAATTTTAATATAGGGGAACAGCAATATACAGATTTCACCGTAGCACCCAATCTCAAGCCTTTAGACCTGCAAACCAATGGCTCAGGTCATGTTCAGTTGCACCTGATCCTGGTGCCTCATACACTTGCACCTGTAGATCTGTTAGGTCTTTAGTACCACCTTTACTTGATCTAAATTGCTGTTTGATGATATGATTGTCGAGTGAAACCATGGAACGTAGATACGAATTATTCTTCGATAATATACTGAGCAAGTGTATACTTACAATTTAGTTTGAACATGTCCAATATGCCATGTCATCAGTTTGCGAGATCAAATCACTGGAGCTAACTTCTGTTTGCACCAGGTTTTGAAAACAGTTCACTTAAAGTTTCATGGTCCGGGGCTTGGATCCAGAAACCAGCGGTTGCTGGTCTATCCTTGTTACATTGCATTTTTTTCATATTGTTCTTGAAAACTCAATGGTCAAATAGAAACATGGAACCAACACATAGTCATATAATCATCAAATAGAGCCTGAAACAACAAAATGTTTGCTGAAATGGTAAAGCTCTCACCGAAACAATTGTTCCAGGTAGTCACTGTCATTTTCAGTTCCTTGCTGTACCTGGCTTACTGCCTTCCATTTTGCGGAACCCTTGTTCTGTAGCTTACTTTACTTGGATGATGGTCTCATTATAGCCCTTTGCAGGTCATTGCAAGTGTAATGTTGCAACAGACCACTTAACCTATACAGAATCTAGGTTTGGAGTGGGCATGTTACGACTGCTGTTGATGGGGAATAGGGAGTATATGATAGAAGAGAGACGGTTTTCTCCCTTCTGAGCCTCTTCTCTTTCCTTCCCCAATCTCTCCCTCCTAGAGTCAACCTAACACAGAAAAATCCCCATCCCATTTTTTGAAGGAAAAAGAAAAATCGGAAATTCTAGTGATGTCATGCATTTTTTTTTTGAAAAACAACACATGTTGCATTGAAATAATGTTTTTTATTGCTCCTTGGATTTCCAGTTGCATAGTGTTCTGCACAAATTATGTTTATGCCTGTAATATATAGGAATATATAACCTACGCCCTTGCAGATTGGAGTGATGGTGATGACACATGGTGATGACAAAGGCTTAGTATTACCACCAAAGGTGGCACCAATCCAGGTAATTGTGATTGCAGTGCCTTATAAGGATGCTGACACAACTGCCATAAAGGGAGCCTGTGAATCAACTGTTTACACACTCAATCAATCTGGGATTCGAGCGGATCAGGACACCCGTGAAAATTACTCTCCAGGTTGGAAGTATTCTCACTGGGAAATGAAAGGTGTTCCATTGAGAATTGAGATTGGTCCAAAAGATCTGGCAAACAAACAGGTACTGACTACTGATTTCTCGCAGATCACCATTCATGTTTAAATTTGGTTACATTTTTTTGTTTGTTGGCTCTTGTTTTTTATATAAATTAATGTGCCACATGAATCACTCTTGTAATCTTGCTTCTTTTCACTAGGACTATCTGCAGTTAGTTAAGAGTATAATACTTTTCATAGCCTTTTAAAGATAAGCAATCTTGTTAGTTGGCTGGTTACTCTTCCCTTGTTTTATTTCATCATTGCCTTTTGCTTGTATTACCAGTAGTTCTTTGATACTACTCCCTCTGGTCTAATACGATTACCATTTTTGGACAGGCGTATAAGGATTTGAGAGTCTTCAAAACTAAAACTTGACCATAAATTTCTCTTAAAAGTTAAAATGTGTTACTATCATTTGATACAAAATCAATATCACATTAAAAGATATGTGAGAAATATGAACACATTGTTACAACTTTTATATTCAAAAAAGCTTGCATACCATTTGACAAATAATTATTTGCTCAAAACATACAAAGGTTGACTTTTTCAATTGGTACTTATTTTCTAGCTACTAATTGTCCAATCTGTGTGCCTCTCCAAAAAAGCTGCTGAGTGGCAACAATGTTCTGATTCTTATATTTGCTGCAATGTCCAAATTACTATGCTTTTGTGAACTTCAATTCCCATGAGTATGTGAGAAAATTGAGTGTGAAATTATATCCTCTTGTTTTTAGGTGCGCATTGTCTGCCGGGACAACGGTGCAAAGGTTGACATTCCTGTGACCAATTTGGTTGAAGAGGTTAAAGTGTTACTAGATGAGATTCAAAAAAATCTGTTCAAAACAGCCCAAGAAAAGAGAGATGCCTGTGTTCAAGTCATCAAGACTTGGGATGAATTCACAACTGCTCTGAATAACAAAAGGTTGATCTTGGCTCCGTGGTGTGATGAGGAGGTACTTGAAGTTGTCAATTTTTTTTTTGTTTATCAGATTTGCCTCCTGTCCTGAATTTGTTCTTCGAAACCTTGGCAACAATTAACAAATAAGAGGTATCAACACTCTTGCCACCATATACTTCTAACTGTAGAAGTAGGAGGCGGAATACATAAAAGATAATTGGGAAACTCATAAAAGTTTGCGTCATTGTCATCACCTTTGGTCCTTGGCTTACCACAAAATTATAAGTATTTCGAAAATGTTGCAGATGAGAGACAATTGGAAGTCTATCAGTCAATGACTACCATGAACTAGCCTTTCTTGATGCTCCTTGTACCTACCAGTTCTATTGTACTTCCGACTGCGATGTCTGTAAATTTCTTTTCCCCATACAGGAAGTTGAGAAAGATGTGAAAGCTCGGACAAAAGGGGAACTTGGAGCTGCAAAAACATTGTGTACTCCATTTGAGCAGCCAGAACTTCCAGAAGGTATGGGTCTGTGAGGGCCTGAATGCAAGTGACCTATGGTTTTCCTTTGTTATGATTGTTGCATTTATATTGCCATGCTGACCTGTCTTGTACAACCTAAATTCAGGTACCCTGTGCTTTGCATCTGGAAAGCCAGCAAAGAAGTGGTCGTTCTGGGGCCGCAGCTACTGATTGCCTTTGCTGGGTGTCTTTTCGGATTCAGTTCTTGTTTCAGATACAAATCCGAAAATCCATTTACATTGTGTTTTACATCGACTTGCAGTTCTCTTGTAATTGGCAAAAGCCATTTATTCCAGCATACATTGCTATTCGAGTTTGGATGTTGCAAGAATGAGAAGACATATATTTGTTTACTGTGGTGCAGTGTTGCTATTAAGTAGGAAAAAAACGCTTCATATCTGATTACAACACATGATTCTCATCGGAATTTAACTAGGCCTCTTTATCTCTGGGCAAAGTCAAATTTATCATGAAATTCCTGCCCGCATTTCACTTAGCTTTTTTCACCTTTCGGCTGGCCATCTTTTAAGTGCTGCTGCAGCCACAGCACACAGTGTTTTGTCTCTCAGGGTCTGAAACAGGCCGCTGAAGTGGGTGCCATTCAGTACAAGCGACGGTGGATACAAATGCAGTGGATACAAATGCAAAGTTTTCATGAAATAACAATTATTCAAAATATCAATAACCAGTGACGGTGGATACAAATGCAAAAGCGAGATGCAGCCGTTAAGACAAATTGAGCTAGCCAAAAAAAAAAAAACAGCAGCCGTGGACTAATTCTGGATTGGGTATGAAACTCACGCTACTCCACAGCAGTCGCGTTCTGGATTTGGGTATGAAACTCACCCTATTTGTCACGCTACTTGTATTGGCGCGACAAAACAAACTGTCTAACTTGGCAGATGTTAGCGTTATTGGTGCAACAAAATAAATCGTTCAACGTGCCAGATGTTGTTGGGCACCAGTCCAATTTTTTCTCGAGCACAAAAAAAAATAAGTAAAAAAGATTAAAAATGAAAAAAAAACCTAGCCACCAACTCCATCTACAGGAACCCACGAACTGTGCAGCGGAAGACCTTTTTACATCGGACACGTGTTCCTTATCCGAGCTGTATTCCTTTTTTTTTTATAGAAACAATCCGAGCCGTACTCCTGCGCCACCGGCCGGATTGGCTTTGTAAGGCCCGGCCCAAGCATCCAGTCTCACGCCCGACGCCACCGCGCCACGTCTCTCTCTCAACACCTGCCCGTCCGGCCGTCCCTATTGGCTCCGCAAGTCGCCCAGACCAGATCTGCCAGAGCGCAGCCTCGCGCCTCGAAACCCTAGCCGCACACAGCTCTCCCCTCGCCTCGCCTCTCGCCTCGCCTCGCCTCTCGCCTCACCTCACCCGCCGCGCGGCACGGGCAGACGCCATGGCCGCCGAGAACTACTGGAGGTACGCCGACGCGCGGCAGCAGCAGCAGGCGATGGTGGCCGCCGCGGCGGCCGCGGCGGGGATGGCCCCCGGGGCGACCGTCGCCGCGGCCCAGACGGTCGGTAGCGCGGCTGCTGCCATGAACCAGCAGGCCGCCGCCGCCGCCATGGCACAACAGGCTGCTGCCGCCGCGCCGCCGCTCAAGCGTTCGCGCCCCGACTTCGGAGGTTCGTGCCCACCAGATCTTACTTTTTTTCTGTTTGTTTGGTGGCTTTATTCCCCCCTCCGATCTCCTCGTTGGCCGTGCTCTGCATAATTTTGGAGGAGTATCTGGCTGGTTATTAGGTTCGTAATTTTAGATCCAACGTTTAGATCTGCAGGGCTGTTATGATCCAACGTTTAGGTAATTCTCCATGCATCGGGGCTGTCTGCCTTAGTTTCGGTGTATAATAAAATTTGACAAGCTAGGTTCGTCGAGTCGCGGTCTCCTCTCATTGCACAGGCGAGGGTAAGGCTTGCCACTAACACCCTTCCCCAGACCCCGCACAGAGCGGGAGCTCTCTGCACTGGGTATGCCCTTTTTTAGGTTTGTTGCACTATATTGAGAATTGTGGCCTGGTTGACTTTTCTTGAGCTAAACTTGTTGGTATTGTTGATTTGGGGAGAAAATTATGTAATGATATTGCTTAGGCATCTGCCGATTTGGCTTATGGTGGAAAAGGATGGTGGCCATATCGTTATTTTTAATGCACAGGGCTTTTACAGAAACAAAATGAGCGTTGATCTTGCACTTTTCATGTATTCCTGGATCGGTTGGTCAGATGTAGTGTACTGATTGGTCGAGTTTGGTGCTCAGGGAATATATTGTTTACTATTTAACTATTAAAATAGTCATCAATAAAAAAAAGTGAAACTGAGACTGGGAGTCTTTTGTAGCTCTGTCTTCTGTTATGATTGTCTTTTGTAACAAAATCCTGAACTTTTTGATGAATTTATATATTGATTACATGTGATAGTTGGAGGTGAGGATTGGTGTAATCTTTGATTTTTTTTTCCATTTTGCAGATGTGTCTGGTGGACAAGACATGACAGGATATTATCCACGTGAAACAGACAGGGCAGGATACCATTCCCTTAGAGATAACGACGCAATTGGAGCATCTTATGACCGTTACTTGCGCAATGGGGTACAAACACAGTTTTCATATTATACTAGTCTTCTTTTTCTTTTTTGCTAGAGTACAGAGTTACTGACTTGCCTTTTATCTGTGTGATAAATTCATAGATGGCCTCCGTCGGTGCCAATGACACTACTAGGGCTGCAGGGATGGGTGCTGGAATGGCTGCTGGGATGGGTGCAGGGATGGGTGCTGGAATGGGTGCAGCGATGGGTGCTGGGATGGCTGGCTATGGTGTTGATGATCGGCGTATGATGGGTGTTGGGATGGGATATGGTGGCCGACCTGAGCCACCTCTTCCGCCGGATGCATCACCCACTCTGTATATTGAGGGCTTACCTGCAAACTGCACACGACGGGAGGTTTCACGTATCCTTCTCCAAAATCTTATTACTGTTCTTTACTAAACTTTTTTTTTCTTCTAAATGTGTCTTGCTAGCTTTGAACATTCTGTTGACTCCCTTTAAATGTCACATTCTAACGTTAGTTCTGCTTTTGTTGAGAGACTTATGGTGCTATCTTCCTTTTTTTTCCCTTTACACCTTCATATTGTTCATCTTCTCTAGTTTCTTTCTGTTTATATGCTTCAATTTTTGTTTAATCCGAAGTACTGATTGGCGGTACCTGTGTATGTTGCCACCCTCTTGAAATATTTTTGTTCCTTTAACCTTTTGCTTCCTTAGATATATTTCGCCCATTTGTTGGTTTTCGTGAAGTGCGTCTTGTCAACAAGGAGTCCAGACATGTAAGTTAACTATGCTGCACCCTTTGACCCCACTAGAAATTTTCTGCTCTAGCGATGGATGATGCTTATCTGTCAACCTTTCTGCAGCCTGGTGGAGATCCACATGTGTTGTGTTTCGTCGATTTTGACAACGCTGCTCAGGCTACAATTGCTCTTGAAGCATTGCAAGGTGAAACTACTTATATTTGTGGATATGGACTGTGTAGTTGGGTTGATTTCCTGATTCTTAGCTTTGGTGACGTTCAGTTTTGCATGTTTATGCATGTTAAATTCTATTATGCATGTCTGAATTTTGTCTATTGTTTGTCGTGAAGCTTGTTTTGAAAATTGTAAATACGTGTTCATTCTGCATCTAACATCATGTGAGTTCCGTGACATAGTTTTTAAATGAGTTCACACATTATATATATCAGGAAGCTGGTAGTCAGGTGGGTATTCAGCGGTAAACCCAACTATTATTCAATGCACCCTGGCAGTTGGTAACACAGCTTAGCATTTCCTAACAAGCTAATATTCTTCTCGTGCATTTAATAGGACTAGTGAGTCATGAGTTTTGCCCTTTTGCGCTCTGCTTCATATTGAAGTGCACATTATGCCCTTCCTAATACATTACATCTAGGAATTGTTACGAAGTTGAGAAACTCATGACCAGAGTGCAGAAACTAGGCGTTCTTAGGTTCTACACTTTGAACTTGCTTTGTACCAGCATCCCTGCCAATTTAATAAGATTCCCATTAGCATTCTGATGTACTGGACCTAAGATTTGCATTTCCATCTTGATCTGCATTGGGGAGTAGGCCTTTGGTTGAAGGCAGAAACCTAACTCTTCCTATTCATGTTACGGTCCGATCACTTGTTCACGCGACGACCTGAGCAATATAAACCATCGCGATTCGTTTTGCAGGTTATAAGTTTGACGGGCACGATCGTGACTCAGCCCATTTGCGGCTGCAATTCTCACGCTTTCCTGGTCCAAGGTCAGCTGGCGGGCCTCGCGGTAGGCGTTAAGACGTGCGGACCTTGTGGTTGCCGAACCTATCGTTTATGCGAGCGATCCAACTACGGCGGGCTAACGCTTCGATATGCGCTGAATTCCGGGTCGGTGGCTTTTTTAGGGTTTGTCAACTCATTTCGTGAATGCGTGAAAGGGACAATGCAATAAGTGATATTCGGCCAAATGTTATTAGATTGTCGTAGAATGTGTAGGGATGGAACTTTAAGTTATTCGGCATACTGTATCTGCTGCCTTAGTTATTTTGGTCTACTGTAACTTCATTACCTTCACATCCGAGACAATTTGAGTTTGCTATCCTGTGGATTTATATAAGGGCGTACCCAGTGCAGAGAGCTCCCGCTCTGTGCGGGGTCTGGGGAAGGGTGTCAGTGGCAAGCCTTAGCCTTACCCTCACCTGTGCAATGCGAAGAGACCGCGACTCGAACCCGTGACCTTCCGGTCACAGGCGGTAAGACTCTACCGCTTGCACCAGGCCCGCCCTTCTTCCTGTGGATTTATATTATCTGTTTTGAAAATGAAAACTAGATGGTGTTAGCCTATCTTAGTAATATATATTGCCCCATTGGTGTTTCTTGCCCATATACCGAAATTTTGTCTAGTTTAATCTAGGACTAATACTGTGCCCTTTTTTTTCCCCCTAAATAAAAATGTGGTTGCATAGTAACTGTGGTGGAACCCCCTGACACCCCTAGTTAAGCATGAAAGGTGGTCAGGGGCTACTGTGCCTATTTCCGACTTTATTTTGTACGGCTAAGGTCCAGGTCCTCTAAGATCAGCTATGCTAAATGGGTAATAGGTGCTGATTAGAACTTCGATAGTGAACTTTTGAATTTTTTGTTGTCATTAATAAATCTGATTACATTTTTCTGAGTACGTTTTTCTTAAAGAAGCAAAGTGTTTTTACTTAAGTTTGATGTGATTGTTGTTCGCAGTTAGTGTGAACTGCATTGGAGCTTTGGGGTATCTGTTGTATTTTGTGAGAAATAACACAATAACTGATAGATTTGATCAAGATGTGAAGTTAAGGAATGTGATACGTTCTGGGATGGAGGTAGGTAGTATTTAGATTGCATGTGTTTCTAAACTGCAAATAACATGGACTTGCGGTGCTGTATTCTTTGGTGAGGGTATTGTTTGCATATAGTGAACTAATTTATGATGCAGCAATGCCATTCCAATCCTGACTCCATAAGCAGTGTCAAAGTAGCTATGCACTGTTCAGTCATGCATCTGTACTCAGGTAATACAATGTTTAGTTGTGTTCAAATGCATTGAAATGGTCTCCTCTAGAACATGTAATTTTTGGTTTAATTTAGATCCCTTGTCACTTGGGAAGTCTTTCGTTCCTCGTTTTCTTTCATCTGTCCTAAATATGTATACGCCAAATGGTATTATTCGTATTCATTTTCATATGGTTATGATATTGTATATGTGTATTGTTTTACAAATACTTTACATGATGTGTTGAAACTGGCTATGCAATTTATTTACCAAATAGGTACGCTTATTCCTTTACAGTTTTATATGCATGGTCTTTTGCTTGTGTGTTTAGTGCAGTGGTTTTTCTAGCATTTGCATTAATAACTACATTTCGGTGTGTGCTAATCTGCCTTTGCTAACCCCTGTCGACCTATCGAAATTGTGTCTCCACTTTTTGTAATTGATTGAATTCCCTACTTATGTGATGGTCAGATGTGTTTTGCACGTCGCTCTTGTCGGTTTGCGATTGCTTCAACGTTTCTGCTTCAGTCTATATGTGCGTTTGCATGTCTGCTGTGCCGTGAACGTTTTTGCATCAGCCGTGCGTTATTGCACTTGCTTGCTCTGTTTTATTTATGATATATAAGCACACAGGTTTTTGCCGGCAGTGTGAATCTTCATACTAAAAGGTTTATGAGTATTCTTCCCGAGTGGTTCTGAGCTGCTGAACTCGAGTTCTGGTTGTCTGTTTCGACAACAAGCAGGCAGCAGGATTCTATAGACAAGACTTCGATTTGTATAGATTTATAGCTTAAGTACCCTGTATTTAAAGTTGCGCCAAGATAACTGAACCGTGAAGGCTACAATCGCTCTTGGATTTAGCTTGGGCCCAGTGGTTCCCTTCCCATTTGTGACGCTGCGGTCGCTCCCCATACCTCTACACGAGGTAGCGTGACTAGGTGGCTTGGTTTCAAGATATGCTAAGATTTTCGCGAGTATTTCACTATTAATAAAACGCACTGACGGTACCCTGTGCTCATTTTAGTAGTATGAATTAAGGAAAAAATGGTTATTTAATTATTTATATGCCGTTGACCCATAATTTTATATACACTTCATCAATATAAAACAGCTCCAATTATGAAGGTGACGAGTAAATGGGCGATCTCTGAACTATTCTTGAGTTCACATCTAGGTCCCTAAACTTATGAAATTGCAGATTGGGGTCTCTAATCTGTCGTAATGTGTCATCTTGTCCAGTCGTGCTACGTTGATTTGCTAGTACACCAGTTCTGTAAGGAGAAATGGCAGCGAATGTTGGGTGAGAACTTTGCAAATTGGCCCTAGTACTTGTTTAGGTTCAATAAGCCCCGTCATCGTCTCTATTTGACTCATCCTCTCTTCCCCCTTGGTTTCTCATCCTCTATTCAACCCCTCTCTCTTCATTCTCTTTTTCTCGTCTCGTGTTCATCTTTGATGCCAAACGCTACCCCCAAATCAGTAGCTTGAACCCGTCCACCGTGCTCCAAATTGGGATCCCTAGTATATCTCTAATGACCTGCATTCGTGTAGTGGGGTAAATGACTGGGGGAATTGAGTGTGTTGTCGCCATTTAGGCGCAGGACGAATGGGAAGCCGCCATTGATTACTTGCCTAGATTGCAAGGCAAATTGTTAGAGTTAAGGTTCAAGGAGCCATGGTCGACTGTTCAAAACTTCTACATGGCCCGGACACAGGGTAAGTTGAACTAAAGAACTCTTCTCCAAATAAGCTTTGTTAACTATGTTGTGTTCTTTTGATGTAATGTGACTTGAATGCAGCAAGATAGAACCCCCTGCCTATTTTGGCACCGGGAGGAAAGTTACTTATATGCTTTGAAGTATAGTTGAGGAAAAGGAGAACATTTTTGCACTGGGGTGACTGAGGAAGCATGTGGAGGTGGGGAATTTTTAGTTGTGATACTCAAATTAAGACTTTGGTGGTTTTAGGTTATGAATAACTTGGTTGTTAAATTGCCTTGTGTCTATGCTAGGAATAGTTGTTCTTGGGATGTTGCTGGCTGTGGCGACGGAGAAGAAATAAATGTTAGGTGTAATGTATTATAAAGAGTACTTCTAATGTAAATGTCAACTAGTTGCAGATGTAATAAGAGTACGCTATTCAAGCTTAGCAGATTGTACGTTGTCTAATTGCTTCGATTTAGACTTGATCATGGGTCACCTGATCCGACTTGTAATATATAACCGGACCCGATCAATGCACCGAACATCCTCCACATAATTTCCGACCTATACCCAAAACCCCGACTCAACCCAGAAAAACCTAAATACACCCCTGCCAGAAATAGCCTGACCTAACCTATTTGACGTGTTTGTTGGGTGGTCACGAGCTAAAAATTAAGTCGAGGTTCTTTTCCGGTCTAGCTCGGCGTGATCTGACCCAATGTTTAGATAGGTCTACTGTTTGCTCCAAGGGTATGCGGCAGGGCAAGCTTGGTCGTCATTGCTGAGTTAGGAGATGTGTAGCACACAAATCATGGCTGAATTTAGCACTATTTGTCGATGTCAAATGACCTATATAAAATATATAAATCCTTTAGTATAACATGGTTAAGGCTTATCAAAATTTATGTTAATATAATAATGGAATTGATTTTGATGATCTTGGTGATGTTCTTGGTTAGATTTACTCCATCGTGGTGGATGCCGTTGGAGTCGAAGAGGCAACCAACAGAGCGTGGACGTTGGTGAATGTGGGTGTGTTTTGTTGGATGGCCAACTTCTGTCCTGGTCCCTGAGCCAAGTTTAGCATGGCCTGGCCCTGAAAAAACGTGAGAAAATAGGAATTTTGTCCTTATGGGAAGTGGGCTTCGCTAGAACGCCCTTAAGTTTGTGGGCTTCGCCAGAACGTCCTTATGAAAGGTGTGTTTCACGCTATTTTGCCATTTCATATTTTTTCCAAGTTTGTAAATTTCTGACCCCATCTTTTTGACCAGGCGTGACCGTTTTACCCCTGTCTCCTTCTACCTTATCCTCTTGCTCTGCTTCTCACGGTCACAGCAATTTCTCCTTTCTCTCCTGTTCTCTCTCCGTCTCGACCGGTGTTCGGGCGGGAGCCCGACGCCGGCCACCGCCGCCCGTCCGCGCCAGGCTACCATCAACAGGCCGCGCGTCACCAGGCGCGCCGCACCTCCCTACATCCCGCCGCTCCCTGCGCATTGCCCCAGACCAACCCTGCAGCTGTCTGCTAGCGCCGTCGGCCAGCGATCAGGCTGGGTTATCCCCAGGCGAAGGCTCCCGCAGTCCAAGACGCGTGCCCGCCTCTGAAGCCTCAGCCGCGACAACATCCTCCCCCTAGAACTAAGGGGAGGCTTCAAGGCGCCCATATTCAGGATTGATTTGTGGATTCAATGGGTATAGTGTTAACTTAGGGTTTTACAGGAGTAAGAAACATTGATTCTCTTATGTGCTTGTGCTATGGATTCCAATCGGAGTGATGTAGTTACCGGGTATGCATCATTATTTACTCTTTGTTGTACAAATATATCTTACTATGACTAGTTGTATGGTATGCGTGTAGTGTTCTAACTCTGTAATGGGTGTTTTTTTAGGCTCGATGCGGAGCCTGAGCTTAGTTTAGTGCCTGTAGATAGTGGCATTCTAGAACAGCCACAGGGACATGTCGTTAATTGGGATGAATTACGGATTGAGGAAAGGCAAGATAATGAAGGGGAAGGAAGGTTAGAAATTTTCGATGAGGATGAGCTGTATCGTTTGCTGGGCCTGAGAACCGAGGATGATCATGGCCAGGGTGCTGCTGATGCTACTTCAAATGATGATCAGGCTACCGCAAACAATGGTAGTACAGTCCCTGATGTTGACACTAGAGGTGCAGCTATCCCTGTTGATGATGCAATACCGGAGGAGGGGGTGATGGTGTATGACCCTAACAAACCATGCATGGATATTGGCACTGTGTACCCCAACATGGTTGAGTTTAGATTAGCGGTGAGGCAGTTTGCCATTAATAAAGAGTTTGCACTACACACTGTGAAAACAGACACAGAGAGATTTATTGGGAAGTGCATGGCACCAGATTGCCCTTGGCATATTAATGGCCGAAAACAACGTCATTCAAAAATTGTTATGGTATACAGCAATTTTTTTTGTTATATGAATATGACTTCTTTTTTTGAGTTATGGCAATGTTCTAATTTCTGTAATAATGCAGGTTACAGCTCTGATTGCTCAACATAATTGTTCATCCAGTGCGAGGAGACTTACTACTACACCCACTGCTGCCTGGGTTGCTTCAAGGGGTATCAAGCGCCTTAGGAAGGACCCAAATATGGGCCCAAAAGAATTGAAGAGCAGCTACAAGACGACCACAAATGTGAAATTCACTATGACACCGTTTGTAAGGGGAGACAGATTACAATGAAAGAGTTGTTTGGCAGCTGGGAGGAAAGCTTCCAAATGCTCTACAATTGGAGGGCAGAGGTTCTGAAGCACTCACCAAACAGTGTCTTTGAGATTTACATCAAGATGGTTGATGGCAAGGTACACTTTCACAGGTTCTTTTGTGCTTTAAGTCCTTGTATTGAGGGTTTTCTAGAGGGATGCAGGCCTTACCTTAGTATAGACTCCACCGCGTTGAATGGTAGATGGTCTGGACACTTAGCAGCAGCCACTGCTCTAGATGGACACAATTGGATGTATCTTGTTGCATTTGGCTTCATAGATGGTGAGACAACAGAAAATTGGGAATGGTTTATGACTCAGTTGCATAAGGCCATAGGAGACCTACCTGTTCTTGCTATTTGCACTGATGCATGCAAAGGTCTAGAGAAAGATGTTAAAAATGTGTTTTCTCATTCTGAACATAGAGAGTGTTTTAGGCATCTTATGTAGAATTTCATTAAGAAGTTTGGGGGTGATGTTTTTTCGAAGATGTATCCTGCAGCTCGAGCATATAGAGTTGAAGTATTTCAATATTTCTTCAAATTTGTTAGAGAGGCTATCGATCAAGTGATGGAATGGCTTGACAATCATCATAAATTATTGTGGATGAGAAGTGCATTTAACCCTGGAATCAAGTATGATTATATAACCAACAACCTTGCTGAATGTTTTAATAATTGGATCAAGGACTGGAAGGACCTTCCTGTAGTTGAGCTTGTTGATAAAATTAGGGAGATGCTAATGGTATTGTGGAGGAAGAGAAGGCAGATTGGACAAAAGCTTAATGGGAGAATTTTACCTATAGTCATACGTCGGCTGAAAATGAGAACCGGAGGCTTGGGTCACTTGACAGTTATCACCTCTGACAGTGTTGCTGCAGAGATATGGGAAATTAATAGCATCCATAACAGGCATGTAATGAAGACTTATCTCTGTGAGTGCACATGCCTTGAGTGGCAACACACTAGTAAGCCATGTCAGCATGCTTTGGCTTTGATTACAGCCTAACAAACTGTGGATGTGGATCTTGAGGAATTTGTCCATGAATACTATTCAGTGGAAATATTCAGGAATGCCTATAAGAGATTAATAGAGCCACTCCCAGATAAAACTCAGTGGCCACATGTGCCACTTCCATTTACAGTTGGGACACCATTGGACAAAAAGGGTGCTGGGAGGTATAGGAAGCTACGGATAAAAGGATGTCTTGAAGGAGGAAGTGGTGGCAAAGGGAAAAAAGCTGCCAATAAGGCTGTCAATGAGGCTGATAAAGCTGCTGAAGAGGAGGCTATGCAAGCTACTAAACCTAAAAGGCAATTGGTAAGAGGAAAAAGAATATGCAAGGGGTGTGGAGAATTGGGTCATGGAGAAACAAGCTACAAGTGCCGCCTAAATGGGACAAAAAAATGTACTGATTTCTTTAGTTTCTGTAACTTACATCTACTGAATGGGACAAACAAGCTATAAGTGCCTAAATTGTTCTAACTTGCAGGAAAAGGAAGCCTAGGACAAATACAACCAAGTATGGGAAGAATGGTAACAAGAAAACTAAAAAAGCTGCTGAAAATACTCCTGTCCAATCTAAAAATGCTGTTGTCCATGCTGAAAATACTGCTGTCCAGCCAGAAAATGCCACTAAAAATACTCCTGTACAGGCTCAAAATGTTGTCGTCCATGCTGAAAATACTCCTGTATATGCTGAAAATATTGCCACGGCTAAGGCCAATATTTTGTCAACAAGTCCAGAAAGGTTGACTAGAAGGTACTACGATTCTTTCATAAACCCATTATAATTCTTTCATGAAAATGCTGCCGTCCATTACAATTCTTTCATGTTGCAGCTGGCTTGCTGTACTACTTGGAGAAGGGCCAAGTACATTGCTAAATCATTTATCGCCAAACAAGTAGGCTACAACTTCACCAAAACCAAAGAAGGGAATAGCGAAGAAGTTGATTCCAAGGAAGTTGAAGACGAATTGAGATGTGAATTTGAAAAACTCTATTGTAATGCCTATGTATGAGCTGGCATTTGAAAAACTCTACTGTAATGCCTATGTATGTGGACATGTATCTCGATCATGAAATTGTATCTCGACCTTATCCTATTTGAAAAACTCTATTGTAATGTCGACTGTTGTAACGTAAATGGTACCTATGTATTGTGTGAACCTTTATGAAATCTACTATATTTCTTGAATGTTATTGTGATCATGAAATTGTGTCAAAATTCTTTCCAAATTCAATTGAAATTATGTCCAAATTTAAGCAAAATTCTATCAAAATTTTGTCTAAATTCATACAAGATTATGTCAAAATCAGACCACATTGAAAGCATCTAGGCTTCTAGTTGGGTTTCGATAATTAATGACAATACAAGATTACTGTGACTAACGTGTGTTTTGCAGATGCAATTAAGTTAGGTCATGGTAATGGAAATTGATTGGGCAATCATGGTTGTCATGCCCCTACGATGGAAATCGTTTCGGTTTTTAAAGGATGGTCGACAAGGTTAAGGATGGACTAGTTCTAAGTGTTGTTTGATGTTGAGGAGACACTTAGAGTAGTTTAGGACTTTGTTTTTTCTTTTGGCCATACTATTAAGGGAGGTATGGACGGGTAGTTTGATCTAGGTGAGTCTAGTGGGTTAGGTGTGATGCACACTTGTCAAATCTAACACTATGTAGCTCCGAAGTTGCCCTTAGATCAATTGGAGCGAACTTCATTCATATATGATTGCGAGTTGGAAATGAATGGAGGGTCAAATATTGACCGGACGCTAGTTCCGGTGTGACCGAACACTGGCGCAGAGTCCGATCAGTTCATTTGATCAAGGTGAAGTCGTCTGGACTCGACCGGGCGTTGGGTGCCAGAGTCCAGTCAACTCCAGTAAGGTTCCAGAGAGGGAGAATCCTGATCGGATGCATCCGGTCAGTGCTGACCGGACGCTGGTTAGGTTCCGGCTATAGACCGGATGTTGAGCAGCAAAGTGACCGGACGCTGGGTGCTAGAGTCTGGTCAACATCAGTAAGGTTCCAAAGAGCAGTTTTTATGACCAGACACTAGTCAGTGTCCGATCACAACTTAACTGCTCGGTGGCGGGGAGAACTGATCGGAGCGTCCGGTCAACTTGACCGGAGCGTCCGGTCACCCACAAAGTCACATAACGGTTCGTTTTGAATGAGGGGTTATAAATACTTCCTCTATTCACTTAAGGGATCACTTTTGCTCATTTCAACAGCTAAGAAACACCTTTGAGAGTGCCAAGGAGAGCAAGGTCCTAGTAAGGTGATTGAGATTTGAGAATCCAAGAGAGATGCCTCATTAGTGAAAAGAGAGTAGCAAGTGTGCATCCACCCTTCTCATTAGGCTTGTTGTGGTCAAGTGAGAGTTCTTACTTGTTACTCTTCGTGATCGCCATCAAGATGGCTTGGTGGTGATTAGAAGTTTGGTGATCATCCGGCGGAGCTTGTGGATGACCCAACTCAAGTTGTGAGCGGTTGTGGGTGATTCACCATGACGGAATGTCGAAGAATCAACCCGTAGAGAGCACTTGATCCTTGCGCGGATCAAGGGGGAGCTACACCCTTGCGTGGGTGCTCCAACGAGGACTAGTGGGGAGTGGTGACTCTCCGATACCTCGGTAAAACATTGCCGCGTTCCTCCTTATCTCTTTACTTTAAGCATTTATTTTGAGCAATTCAATTCTTGTCTTTACATTCATAGAATTGTCATACTAGAGTAGGATTGGAACTTAGGTTGCAAAACTTTTGTGCGGTAGAACATTAGAAACACATTCTAGGTACAAGGGGTGAAGTGGGCTAAGTATAGGGTTTAATTATTGCAAAGAATTTTAGAATTAGCCTAATTCACCCCCCTCTTGGGCATCTTGATCCTTTCACACATGGTCTGCATAAACAAGTGAAACATGACTCATGATTCCAGAAAAACATCTTCTTCATTACATAGGCCTTGGATGTCATTACAACACATGCTTCACTTCCTAATAAGCACTACCACGACTAATTGAAATCCATCATGTCTGCCGCATAACTCACACACAACCACACAGACACACAAGAGCTAACTCACACACACATTGGCTGACTAACAGACATTAGTTGTTCACTTCCACATACAGGCAACCACAACACCAATCAGGATACCTACAAAGCCCACAAAAATAGAATAATCGATCATAATTTGCTTCGGCTCAGGCTTTGGCTCATGAATCGGCTCTGCAGGCTTCACCTTCAGTTTCTAAAGTTCAGCTACAACACTATCAAGTGTTTGCTTCAACTCTTGCAATTATGCTTTCAATTCAGAGCAACAGTCACCTGATCCTTTCAATTGGTATCAGAGCCTCGTGCTCACGTATTTAGGCTTAAGCGCCTAGAGAAAGATGTCTCACGGGGTGTTGATGCAAAAGTAGATCTGCAAACACAAAGGGCTAATACCCGAATCGATATCCAAAGCGTGCCAATCGATTTGACCTGTTAATCGACAAGGATGAAGATACGAGCACTTTGGTCCTAACAACAGCGATACGCCCGGAAGTCATGGCCAAGAGGTACTCACGCGGAACTCAAGAATCACCGAAGGTCGCACTGAAGCGATACAACTCGCCGAATCAATGAGAACTCGTAAAAAGGAAAAAATATGCAAATTGATGAAGTCGCCGAAAAGTAAGTAGATGCAAATAGGAGTAAAAATTGGTTTTGATATTGATTGATCTCTATTACATTGCCCCTCAATCTATATTTATACCCTGATCTAAAGAGACATAACCAAATACGACTAGGACACCAAGTCCATATCTAAGGAAATACGTGACTCTTACATGAATCATACTCTAACAAATATAGAAAAGGAAATCAACTCCTATCTATTTCCCTGTCCGCCTCAATTACGATGGAATTCTCACCGACCTCCTTTCCATCGGCATACTTCCTGTTTCATCGGCAGTAGTTTTCAAGCCTTCCTTCATCGGCATCGACACTAACATCTCCAACCTTATCGGCAACGCCCGAGTCTAAATCAACCTTTCCATCGATCACCACCATTCATCGGCAACCATCTTTACAAGCTGATTTTCATCTACCGTCAACAGATATCTGATAACTTTCCTCCCGCCGATTAGCCCACTCGATCATTTTGACACGTGCAAAAACGGTGTCAACACATGCCCCCAATTTGGAGTATAAAACCATTAATGCTCGAAATTTACTCGAATAACGTTTGCCTTCGCCCAATTACCGTAACTCATCCTCCAAGCCAAAACTTGATACATTATCAAATCTAATCAAATCTAGTCCCGATTCACGCACCTCGGTAAATATCGCACAATTTCCAACCACTCTTGCCCCGATTATGGTTAAGATATCGAAACGAAGAATCCATCGGCAAGATCCTAACATAATAATGCCGCCATTTTTAGAATTAAAATATCCTGTACCGAGATCTCTTTCAAGTCATGATTACTTACCATCAAATCATCTGTACAATCCCTTGATTATCGTACGAACAGTTACCATATCCATCTGAACCACCTCGGCCCACATGCGCGCGGCATAGAGATAAGTCCAGAATACCCCTAATCCAAGCGGCTTATAAATAGATTTCTCCGGAACGCTCGTCTTCTACCCTCAGACTCCAATCTTTGGCATTCTCTCTTTCCGGCGGCGACTCCGACGAACAACTACGCGACCTCAACCAACAAGAACTTTTCTCCAGCGTCAACCTCGAGTCTCCAGCTCGTGCCCCCATCTACCTCAAGATAATGGCAATCAACTTCGACGTCCCTGCGGTTCGTTCCGCTTCCGTTACTTTTTACCTCGATTCCTCTGGTCTTTGCGAGTTCATACAGTTGGTAATTTTTCTCTTTTTCTTTGTTCTTTGGATCCTCTAAACTTAGGAACTTCGCAACAAATTAGTTATTCCAACCGATCAGCCGCATTTCCAATGCCTAGGACCAATGGGCAACCCAGATCTAAGCGATCCGATTAATGTAGAGGTTAATGAATCCCTTTTAGAGCCCAAAATTTCTCTCTAAATTTATGGAAAGATACATTCCGATCTTGGCCCAAAACCACCAAAGGGTGGAAAGATTGGTACTTGAGGGTCAACAGGTCGATGCAAGTACACTGGGCAGAACGGAAGCTAGACCAATGCATTAGGCTATCCATTGCCGATATGCAAAAGAACGAGTCAATGATGATTGCAACTGCTTACTTCTGGTCAGACACAACAAACACTTTTATGTTTGGACATGGCCCAGCTACTCCCACACTTGCCGATGTCTACATGCTCACTGGCTTGGACATTTCAACTGCCGATGAAGGCTCCATCTATGGTAGAAAATCTGAATATAGGGTGAATACCCGCAACATCGGCGGTTGGACGGGATATATTCAAGAATGCCAGAGGACCGGGACAGTTAACCAGACGGAACATGCCACATTCTTGAATATGTGGTTAGAAAAATTTATCTTCTGTGGTCGATCAGTAGGACCAACAAACGCCTTCCTCCCCGCGGCTGAACTCTTGGCCAATGGTGTAAGGTTCCCTCTTGGCCGATACCTTCTGAGCTCCACTTATCATCTTCTTCATCAAGTGTCTCAGAAACTTTTGCTTGGTGAACCCATCGGCAACTTAGGAGGCCCGTGGTGGTTTATCAACATGTGGCTGAATGCCCATATGCACAAACGTCTACAATGGGACTTCTTTGCCCAACAATTCCCACGAGAAATTGCTGAAGACCACGTGCTTGGGGATGAGGAATCGGCAACACGCTCACCCCTCAATTTTGGTGAAGCCATAATTGTCCTCCCCGAACAGAGGCCAATGAAGACCGGATCGATGATTCTTCCAAAGCTTCTACAATGGTCTTTCTCGTGATCATAGGGCCTGGG